AATCGATTTAACGATTACATTTTTTATGGATCAGTTTCAGTTGGCCAAGTAATCAAACCTAACAGTGTCGGTTCATTTGGCAATAAATAACACCGAACTGAACCGACGCATGTAAAGCCCTATGAAAAATTGTATACATTAAAATTTATATGAAATAAAATTTTAAATTCTTTTAATCTTTTGTCTATCTTATTAATGTATTTTAATTTTTTATTATTTTTTCAATTTTTCTTAAAAAAAAAAAAAAAAGTCATACTGACATATGGCGCAACCCTCGTAGCCCAGGCCATGGGCCATGCCGAGCTCCTTTCTTGGCAGATATGTTCCAAGGAGGCACAGCCCACTGGTACGGAAAAAGGCCCACTACCCAAAAAAAAAAAGGTGGGGATGCACAGCTTTTTTTCTTATAAATGTAGAGTCGTACATAGGGGTGTGTCATCTTAGAAAATACAATCTCAATGTGCGATTGTAATAATGTGTGGGTAGGTGTGGATAAGGTTGTAGACGTGAAGACGACAAAATGTTTTCTGTTTTAATTATTAATATTCATGACCCGTGCAACCATCCAATGCGCCACATATATTGTTGTTTGGACATGAATTCAGCTCAGCACATTGCAGGATGATTTAACCATTTGGATCACACCCCACAAACGTATTTGGGTTTTAGTAATTGTGAACTAGGAGTGCAATTTGAGGGAATTGGATTTTATCAAAATTTGAATAGGCTCGGTTCAAATTAAATCTTGGCCCGAAACACTACAAAATGTTAGTTCAAACCACCCTGAATTGCACTCATAGAGTGATCCGTGTGATGAAAAACCACACAATTTTCATCATCCAAGCCTTATTGGGATGAAAAACCGTATGATTTTCATACACTATCTAATCTACAAACAATGCGTAGACCTTAACCATTGGGCAGGCATGCACAATATAACTTTAGTACTTAAACCGGTGGCCCAATCATATTTCCTGGTTCAGACCGGTCTGGCCGAGTTCCTTTGGCATTATTGCAGTAGTGATTGTTCCTTTGGCAATGGAATGGAAGCCCCACTTTTTTAAGCATGTGATTGAAACAAAATCAAGAAACTGAGTTCACATTTGCTATGAAAATGGGGTGGCGTTACATGTCATTATCAAAGTTACATTGCATAGAGTGCACATTCTGATTCGCTCTAATCTGCATTTTTCGGATTCTACTTTATTTTGTTCGTTTGCAGGGGTTTATATTCTGAGAAATAACTACATATTCTTATTTTTAAGTACCCTTTCCCAAACCACTTATATTTATTTTAAGAATTTCTTGGGACAAGGATGTTTGGCAAGCTACTTCAATAATAAGTACTTAATTTTATAAAAATGGCATTTTTAACCCAAATTTTACAAATTCATATAAATATTAGTTTTTGATTATTATATTGTCTATTTCAAAGGAACTAGTCACATCACTATTTTGAGATGCATATAAATCCACATGTAATGCACATGAAATTCCACAAGAGCCCATGTGGCCCATGTGGCACATACATTGCACTATTACAATAATCATAATAATCATAATCATAATCCTAATAATAATAAAAATAATAATAGATTTAAAAAAATTACTTTCAAAAAATAGTTTTCATAGTTACCCTTCAAAAAGCACTTTGAAAAAATAATTTAAGAAAAAACAATTTTCACAAAGTAATTTAGTTTATGGGTTTCTTCACTAGAATATACATAAAAAATAGCACTAAAAACGACCCAAGTAGCTCGACTAGGAAGGCATACCTCTCGTGTCGGCAAGCTTCCGGTCGATTTATCGTTCAAAGAGAGTGGCATCCTGCACTCTTGCACATGGCATCCTGCACAATTCCCTGCACTCTCATTTTACCAAAGGCAACAAACAAGATCTGATTCGGAACCACTTAAGATTGATAAAAATGACAGTGAAGTCTAAGGGCTTCGGTCTCAATCCTTTTCAAAGAGAGTGGTTTCCAAAAGTCTGAAATGTCAAACAACAATAACCCGTGCCAATCCGCTCCCATTTTGTTTTGATCGGAAATAGGAGAGGAAGCCAAAGCCTTCATTCCTCTCTCTGTTACTTAAGTTTTGATCGGTGACGGAAATGGGAGAGGAAACCGAAGCCTAGGGGTGGCAACATGTCGAGTTTTTCATGAGCTGTTCAAACTTGGTTCGTGAAAAGCTCGGTTCGACTCGGTTTCAGTTGAGTTTGAGTCCAATTTAGTGGTTCAATTATTAAATGAGCCCCAGTTTATATATAATTTTTATTTTTACAAAATATTTTTTTCTAAATATTTTTATAAAATATAAAGGCTCGACTTGGTTTCAGCCAAGCTTGAGCCCAATTTAGTGGCTCAATTATTAAACGAGCCCAATTTATATATAATTTTTATTTTTACAAAATATTTTTTCTAAATATTTTTATAAAATATAAAACGAGCCAAGCTGAGCCGAGCCGAGCTCGAGCTTATGAACTTTTGACTCGAACCAAGCTCGAGCCTTGTAGAATAGTCTCGAGCCTGGTACTATTCAGCTCAGCTCGGCTCAGCTCGAATCCACCCCTACCGAAGCCTTCCTTCCTATCTCTCTCTCTCTTTGTACTCTTTGTTGCTTCTTCTGTTATGTCTTTTCATCTTGAACTCTATTTTTTTCTCTTTCTAATTTATATTTTAAAATTAAATAAAAGAAAAAGGGGCAAACTAACCCAATTGATACATGAGAGACAGGGTTCTTCATTGGCTTAACGGTTTTTATTTTTTAACATTGCTTGAGCATCAAATGAATATTGACGAAGCATTGGTAGAGACAAATAATAAAGTATTGGGAAATTGTCGAAAACTAACCATGAGTTTTCAGCATTTCTCTTAAACTCATCACAACTTTTCAAAATGTCTAAAACTCACCATGTCATTAACTTGACGTTAAAGAGACTAACAGCTGTTAATATATTACCATTTTAACCTTCATAGAAAAATATAAAATATATACAAATATTATAATGTTTAGATACGAAAAAAAGGAAAATGCTCAAAAAATATTTTTCAAATATAAAATACATAAAAAACAGAAATTGGAAAAAAATATAAAAATTATAGAAATTGCACACAAAATAAAAAATTGTTTTCAAATTATAGAAACTATAAAAATTGAAAAGCAAAATTAGAAAATAAAAAATATAGAAAAAACACCAAAAATTATAGAAAAGCATAGAAATTGTAAATTAATAAAAAATAAAGAAAAATTTATAGATCGTAGAAAATAGAAAAATGTAAAAAACTGGAATTATAAAAAACATTAGAAATTATAATAACTAAACTATAAAATGTAAAAAAAGAAAATTGAAAAATGAAAAAGACCGTTTTCCTCTAACTCACCATTCAAGGGTGATTTGGTCAAAAAAATTGTTATTTATGGTGACATGGACACCTCTGTTAAGAAACATTAACGGTGTACTAATGGAAGGTGAGTTGGGAAATAAAAACTTATTGACATGGTGAGTTTTAGACGTTTTGAAAAGTTGTGGTGAGTTTAAGAGAAATGTTGAAAACTCATGGTGAGTTTTAGGCAATTTCCCTAAAGTATTTGATGAGGGGTAATTTGGCCCAACCTATTAGCACGCAGGCACATGGAACGACCTGATGACTAAACGACGACTCGGCATTTCCTGCCACCTCAGCAGGCCAAGTCAGCTTGGGCACCTCACCAAGGTCGAGGTCCGAGCAACTTGTGATGGCCCAACCTACCGAGGTGCCACGTAGCCCACTTTTAGAAGCTAGTCAGTTGTCTCCAACCTTTCCGATATCACACCGCACGTCTGTGAGCCTTATCCTCATCCCGCCCGGATCGGATGGACTCGATAAGGCTTATCAGCTCACACGAAGTCCATCTCTAGGTGCAAAATGGACTCCTAGTAAAGCAGGACGGGGATCTCGAATGTGTTTCGTGAGTCTTACGGTAGCTCGTCTATATAAGGGCTTCAACCCCACCCTTAACATTACAAGGTTCGTGCGATATTAGTTCTCTTGCTTACAGAGCTTTTCAGCTCACAAATACTCTTCGCTAATTTAAGCATCGGAGTGCCCACACCGGATAAGCCACCCTGTGTTCTCTGATCGTATTCTCTTACAGTTTGACCGGCTACTTAAGCGGACCGACGTTCAAACTGCCATCCCGTTAAGAGCAACCAGATCGTGCACCATCAGTATTGTTTCTCCAACTGTATTAATTAAGTTCTACTTTCTTGATTGAACTGTATCGATGATGAAAAGACACAATTAATCTCGCTCAAACGATGTTGGATTAACAAGATAAAGAATTTGAAGAGGTTATATTTCTTTAACACTGATTTTGTGGGAGCATGAAAATAGAAATAGATTTTTAGAGGGTGAAAAAATAATGAAAATTTGGGACAGAAAATCAGCAACTCATAAGAGAAAGACATGATTTGAAACTAAGACATATGAAATGTAGACATGATTTAATGTTAATGTGATGTTCTATGATTGGCTGTACAGGAGAGCACGTGAAAGAAATCCAAACTCATCTAGAACCGTAAAGTGACCCTTAAAATATTCAAAGAACAGATAGAAGAAGTCGGGAAATGGGAATGGCACCCACACATCAGCAATTATTAACAGGATAATTGAGAATTGTTGTTGATGGATGTTCTGAATTTAATTACTTCATTGAGATAGAATAGAGACCAGTCACGCAATTGATTAATGGATTAATGGTCCCCGCGAATTCAGACTTCTGATCTGCAGCAGCTGTGGTCGCAACACTCATCACTTTCCCCTTGCGACTCCTGGATGAAACACGTATATGAACATAAATTCAAACATGTGAACTGCGTTTTATTTTGATTGCTGGAATGGTCCCCAAGAGTTATCTTTTGTTTGATTAATTGACAAAGTGCCAAAAATGCACCGGAGAGGGTCTAACTTAAATTTTTGTCTATATATAGACACATTCTACGTCCGACAGAAGGCAGAGAAATCTGATAAAGAAAGAAAGCAAGCAAGCAATGGTGAGGTTGTGTTTGTTGTGGGTATCCCCGCTTCTGCTCTCATTGTTGTTCGCCTTCGCCCTGCCCAGTGCTTTGGCAGACGGAGAATGCGGACCCAACTTCAACAATCGCACCTGTGCAGCAGGGTATTGCTGCAGTACTTACGGTTACTGTGGCACCACTAGTATCTACTGTTGCGAGAGTTGTGCTAGCCAATGTGATTATAGTAAATGCTCGTCACCACCACCACCCTACCAGCCACCGCCACCACCCCCACCACCGCCACCTTACGTACCACCGCCGCCTCCAAGCGGTGAAAGTGTCAGTTCCATTATCACCAAAGAACTCTTCGAATATATGCTTCTGCATCGAGCAGAAACTGCTAACGGGTGCGTAGGCGGCTTTTACACATACGAAGCATTCATAGAAGCAGCCGACTCCTTTGCAGGTTTCGGAACCACAGGTGACTCGGAGACGCGCAAGAGGGAGCTTGCGGCTTTCTTCGGACAAACTTCTCAGGAGACTACAGGAGGGTGGGATAATGCACCCGATGGTCGATATGCCTGGGGATATTGCTTTGTTTCCGAAGGAGCAGGTGATTACTGCGATCCACGTGAAGAGTGGCCGTGTGTTTCTGGAAAACAATACTACGGCCGAGGACCCATTCAGCTTTCTTAGTAAGATTCCTAACTTTTCTTACGTTTTAATCTGATTCTGATTAAAAGAGGCCGAGGGTATCATCATCAGAATTCAGAGCTTAATTAATTTATTTCTCTAGCTAATTGGTTCACGATGGTCGGTGGATTACAGCAACTACAACTACGGACCAGCAGGGGCAGCGTTGGGCTACGACCTGCTATCAGACCCAGATAAGGTTGCAGAGGACCCAGTAATGTCATTCAAAACGGCAATCTGGTTCTGGATGACAGCTCAGTCGCCAAAACCATCTTGCCATGAAGTAATGACGGGACAATGGACGCCAAGTGAAGCAGACATAGCCGCAAACCGACTCCCAGGCTATGGAGTCACCACCAACATCATCAATGGAGGAGTTGAATGCGGCAAAGGCGACGGGGTTGAAACTGTAAAGCACCGCATTGGGTTCTACGAGAGATACTGCGGCTTGCTCGACGTGAGCATGGGTGACAATCTCGACTGCTACTACCAGAAGCCTTTTAACGCGGCTCTTGCCGTTGGGCTTCAGCTGGTCTCATCAGAGTAGAGAGTCGATCGGCAGTCTCTCTTTAAATATTGCTAGCTAGCTAGGTTGTCTACGTATTAATGTATCCACCATCTACTCTGCTACTGCTAGTCTGCTAGTAATGAATAAATTAAAATGGCTATGGTGATGTACACCATATTTCATCAGCTAATTAACTTCTCTTACCCTCATCTAACTAACTGTAACTAAATACATATATAACTGGCCCAGCGTTAATCTGATCCATCCATGCTCGCTTTAGATATATAGCAGTTCTAGCTATAGCTAGCATTTCAGTTGATATGCATGGGTCCTTATTATATCTAGATGATCGATCATGTGGGTCTTTGCAATAATCAATATCTACACAAGGACAACAACCATTTGGTTATATATATATATATATATATATATATATATATATATATATATATATATGTTGCACCTAGCTAATTGGACAATAATAATAGCTAGGAAATATTATATATCTCCTGAAGAAGAATAAGAAGCTAGCTCCACAAATAATGACGACCACACCAGAACAGATATTATGCTTTTCAGATCCCCTCCACTCTTTTTCCTGCATTTCCTTGGCTAGCCCATGGTCATTGGAAACATTGCCCATCACTCATGTTCACATAGTCACAGTATGAACATTCTGTCCTCTTCAACATCTAAAGGGTTTTATAGTGCTTGCTTATTTACTTTATTAAAAAAAAAGGATAAATCTCTTAAACTATCTTTACTGTTTAGCATAATGATACGTTGTACTCTTATCTATCGTTTAGCTATTGTCTTGCAATACCCTTGATTATTTTTTACTAATTCACTCACTGCCCGTTAATGTTCCGTCGAAATTCATACGTGATGTATAATTTTTTTCAAAACCCAATTTTGCCCTTCGTTCCTCTCCCTTCTTCTTTACCATCCCTCTCCTCTCCCCAGCAGCAGCTACATTGAAAACCGTTGAACCATTCTCTTCTTACTTTCCCTCTTTTCTTTCTGTTTTTTTGCGTAAAAATTTTAAGGAACTCATTTCAGACGGATGATTTAGCGAGTGTCGATTGGTTATCTCGTTTCGTGGAGGATTCTTTCTCAGGATTCCCGCTACCTTCCCCAGCCAGAAATCCAACGGAGAAAACCTAAGGTGAGACGTTGAACCGGTACCATGCAGGGCGAGAAGCAAACGTGCGAGAACCGGCGGAAGGGTTTGGTCCCTCGTGTCTCCTTTGTTCAGGGAGTCTTCTTCTTTGCCGTCGTCATCATCTTCTTCCTCTTCGTCGTCCTCTTCGACGTCGTGTTTCATATTGACCAACAGCGACCAAAACCTGGAATTGTTCGACCATTCCGTAAAGCCGCCGGCGAAGAAGCCGGTTACAGAGACGGGTGGGCCCCAACCGCCTCGCAGGTACAACCATTGTCATGTTCAGAGGAGTTTGATATACAACACGCCAACGCTTTGTGAGTTTTAATCGCTTTTCTTTTCTCTTGTTGCTTCCTCTGTTTCTGTCTCTCTTCCCTTCCGTTTATTTCTTTTTCATTTGTATCCTCCAAGCGTATCTATTATTTCATTTATCTATGCTTTTGAGGGCATTTCTGTGCTTCGGTGATTCATGACCGAAAAAGAAGGCAAGAGATACAGTAACATGGAGTTCGATGGGCTTTTCGTCTGTAACATGGAGTTCGGTGTTGCTCCAGTGCGCGTCTTCTCTGATATAATGGCTGACGGAAGCTTGGAAATTGAGTGAGGCCTTACCATGGCAACAGCGGCTGCGCGTTGTACAAGTCCAGAGGCGATTGCTCCAAAGGGTCTCTTCGGAATGGCATGATACTGTGTTTTTACTAATCGTTCGGAGAGGTACCAGTGGTGGTGGCGGTAGCAGTGAGGACGGGAGAGAGAAGTTAGAGGAAGAGTTTCTCATTCAGTTTCTCATTCTACTCGAGTTATCATAGTATCAAAGCATACCGATCCATGATAAACTCGACGATATGATCGTTGCGAAATCTTGGTCGCCGACAGAGGCTCCATCCGCTGCTATTACCGCTGCAAATCCCTGTCACTGCGAAATCTTGGTCATCGGAGGTGACCGCTGCTATCCCCGCTGCAGGTTCTGACCGCTGCGAAATCTTGGTCGCCGGGAGGTGACCGCTGCTATATCCGCTGCAGGTCGTGATCGCTGCGAAAACTCGGTCGCCGGGAGGTGACCACTGCTATCACCGCCGCAGGTTCTGATCACTGCGAAAACTTGGTCGCCGGGAGGGGACCACTGCTATCACCGCTGCAAATCCTTGTCGCCGCGAAATCTTGGTCATCGAGAGGCGACCGCTGCTATCTCCGTTGCAGGTCGTGATCGCTGCGAAAACTCGGTCGCCGGGAGGTGACCACTGCTATCACCGCCGCAGGTCCTAATCGTTGTGAAAACTTGGTCGCCGGGAGGGGACCACTGCTATCACCACTACAAATCCTGGTCGCCGCGGAATCTTGGTCATCGGGAGGTGACCGCTGCTATCACCGCCGCAAATCCTGGTCACTGCAAAATCTTGCTCACCGGGAGGTGACCGCTGCTGTTACCGCTACAAGTCCGGCGGTGGCTCTATCCGCTGCCATTACCGCTGCAACTCCGGCAGTGGATCTATCCAGAACTATCAACCCCACCGCAGACCCTGGGTGGTTGGCTACTATTACTGTCGTTGCAAGACCGACAGGTGCTCTGCTGCAATCTCGCCGCCCCATCGTGGTCGACGGTGCTACCACCGCTACAACCCATTGATAATCATGTCTGATTCGGAAACCTCAAATCCGTTTGGAGAACAACGGCCTAATCCTACTCTCACTGAATTGACCACCAGAATGACTGAACTCCTGCATAGACCGATCTCAACTACAGAAACCTCTGCCGCTCAGATGGTATCAAGTTGGATGGCACCAACTATGCCCTTTGGTCCCAAGTTGTTGAGATGTATATATCTGGCAGAGACAAACTAGGATATATTAATGGAGAACTTCCTCAGCCTCCACAAACTGACCCAACCTTTCGAAGGTGGCGCACCGACAACACTATTGTCAAAGGTTGGTTAATTAACTCCATGGACGTATCCTTGATTGGTAACTTTATTCGATTCCCTATAGCAAAGATGGTGTGGGATTCTGTGGCTACCACGTACTCTGATGGTAGTGATACCTCGCAAGTATACGATCTCCGGGGCCGTGTGACCCGCTTGCGCCAGTCTGGAGGGTCTCTTGAAAAGTACTATAATGATCTCCAAGGATTGTGGAGAGAAATTGATTTTCGTCGTCCGAATCCGATGGAGTGTGTGGTAGATATTCAACGGTACAATACTCTCCTTCAAGAGGAGAGAGTGTATATCTTCCTGGATGGCCTTGATGATAGACTAGACAAGATTCGGGCAGATGTACTCCAAATGCATCCGTTTCCCACTAGTGAACAGGCTTACGCACATGTTCGAAGAGAAGCTATCCGACAGAGGGTCATGATAACCGGCAGCCATATTGAAACTCCAGGAGCAGTTTTGACCTCTAAAGGTGTTAAGACGGGGAAACCTACACCCTCTTCAACGAGCTCTCTGCCTGTAAGCAGCGAAAAATCTGGTACGTCCTCTAAATCTCGAGCATCTTCTGGTGGCACTAAATGCTCTCATTGTGGCAACTCAAAGCATACCCGGGAGAACTGCTTCAAGCTACATGGCTATCCCGACTGGTGGCATGAACTCCAAGCTCGGAAATGCCAAGACAAGGCTGAAACTAGTGGTAAGGCTGCAACAGTTACAACAGAATCTCAACTCTC